GTTTTGTGCTCCAGGGACACATATAACAATGTGCCAGAATTAGCCAGAAGGCTATTTTGCATCTGCAGTCCCTGGACTGATGGTAAAATTGTCACCCTAAAAATATGATGACATTATGATTAAAAATTACATGGTCAAAAAAATTACAAATTAGAAAAAGTTACATTTGATTAAATATTAAAAATATGACATTTATTTTAAAATGACAAGGGTCAAAAGGTGTTATTTTAGTATCATAATGTACTATTGTAGCTTTCATTAGTATTTTGAATTAGTTTTTGTTTTTTTACTTTCCGTGTTCATTTAAATTTTAGCTAGTTTCATTAATTTTGTTGTGTTTTTGTAATTTTTTATACTAGCTTGTGTTGTTTTATGACAATGTCTATATAGTTTTTTATTAATATTTTTTTCAGTTTTAGTTTTAGTAATTTTAGTATTTCAACTTAACCTTCAGGAAAATTACAAATGCCTTGGCAGCTAACTGAAATAAAATAAGTTTGGTTTTTATATTTTTGTTTCAGTTAACATTGATTTATTTATTTACAATTAACTTAAGTATTTGTCTAGTTTTAGTTAACTATAATAACCCGGGGTCAAAACAAACAAACAAAAACACATTAAAAATGACATTTGGTTAAAAACATGACAAATTTAGGAAAAAAAATGGCATTTGATAAAAAAATTTATAACGTCAAAAAAATTAAATTAAAAGATGAAACATACATGCATTGACGTTTACAAAATAAACATGCGTTATAATGTTGATATTGTGAATATTAATTTTGAGGCAAATTTAAAGATGCTCTAAGCTTTTTTTATAGAAAAGGTCTGTCACATCTGATTTTTAAGTATTTGTCTAGTTTTAGTTAACTATAATAACCCGGGGTCAAAAAAAACAAACAAAAACACATTAAAAATGACATTTGGTTAAAAACATGACAAATTTAGGAAAAAAAATGGCATTTGATAAAAAAATTTATAACGTCAAAAAAATTTTAATTAAAAGATGAAACATACATGCATTGATGTTTACAAAATAAACATGCGTTATAATGTTGATATTGTGAATATTAATTTTGAGGCAAATTTAAAGATGCTCTAAGCTTTTTTTATAGAAAAGGTCTGTCACATCTGATTTTGTAAACAGCACAAATTCATCAGTGAGTGGACCACGCTGTTTTAGCCAATCAGAACCATGTTCAGGTTTGCTGACATCGGATTGGATGGCTTGTTTCTGGAGGGCGGGGTTAGCTACAGAACTTACAGCAGTCTGTTGCATTACCGTTTACAATTCTATGTAATTGGGTGTATTCATTATCTCATTATTATTTCCCTCTGTTTTTCCCAGGTTCACCCACTCCAGGCATCTCCTGGTCGAAGCTGCGGGCGCCGTTGCCGTGGCAACACAAGGTGAACGGCGGGATTCTGACCCTTAATAACGTGGGTCGGCAGGACTCAGGTACAGCTGCTCTGCAAACATGAAAAACCATGTCTGATATTGCCTTATACTCGACTCAGTTGGGTCTCTCTGTGTGTCAGGCCAGTACATCTGTAACGCCACGAGCGCCCTGGGCTTCAGCGAGGCCTACGTGCAGCTGGAGGTGGACTGTGAGTGACAGAAACACACTCTTATCTCTGCTGACCTTGTCGTCGCAGACAGACGTTTACATTTGAGTCAGATGGTCACAGGTCAGTGTAAACGTGGACTTCGTCAGGCTCAGAGTCAGCTGCGGTCACTGGACTCCGGTCGTATTCTGGGAACCTAAATACATGGGAAGCTGAAAAAGAGCAGCAAAAGTCATCAGGTGGAGTTTAGTTTCAGATAAAGGGAGAAACTGTGTTTGATAGCAGCATTAAACTCAGACGAATGCAATCACACACAGTCAGGGAGCGCAGCGAAAGAGAGCATGTGTGTAAATGATAATGTGCGGAAACATCACTTATTAATCATTAATCAAACAGTTTTCATGAGAATACATGTTCACAGTCACATTGCACACCACACAAAAAAAAAGATTCTGCAAAAAGAAAATGAAGCCAGTTTTAAGACATTGGAACATTATTGTGTTTAATTGTCATAAAAAATGTACAGTAACATTATTTAAACACTAGATTTATAACTTAAATTAAAAATACATGACAAAAATACACATTATTATTAATGTACATATTTTTATGACAATTAAACACAATATAGTAATACACAGATTTTAACTTTTTAAATAAATTTAAAAAATACATCTTAAAATTAATATATTGTTATTACTATTTATGGTCGTTATGACAATTAAACAATACAAATAGTTGAATAACTTTATCGAATTTACTTTATGAATAATTTAACTATTTAATAAATAGTTGAACACAACTGTTTTAAAAATACACAGTGTTATTATATTTATGTATTTTTTATGACAATCAAATAATACAGTAAATACACTGGTTTTTAACCCTTTTTAATAAATAAAAAATAAATTTTACAGTAGAGTAAAATAAACCTGTTTTTAAATAATTTACAAAAATACATAATAAAAAATACACTTTTGTGTGCATTTATTTGTTTGACAATTAAACAATACAGAAAAAAATACACTGGTTTAAAAATTTTACAAATGTACATTATGTGATACATAATGTAGCCTATACATTAAAAATACATTATGAACACATTTTGATTGTTTTGTGTTTTCATTTATAAATACAGTAAACTACAATACAGTAAAGAACACTGTATATAAAATGATACAAAAATCCAAATCTTTTTTTACAGCAATGAAAATTAGATTTATTTATTTTTTGACCAAAATGACTCCTAATGATCCTAATGTCCCGTTTACAGGATTTTGCTGTGAGATAGAGATAGACATGTTCGTGACAGTTATCATGAGATTAACCCATTGAACCCATCCCTCATATGCACTGTGTCTATGAACCGTCTGCTCTCGTCCTCAGCGCCTCCGTACACCACCACACTGACGGAGGAGACAGTGGCTCGTCCCGGTGATGCCTTGCGTCTGCAGTGTCTCGCTCACGGCTCTCATCCAATCCGCTTCCGCTGGACGCGTGTGGGCGGAGCCTCCATGCCGCCGGGGGCGGAGACCACCAAAGATGGCCTGCTGAAGATCGCGCAGCTGAAAGTAACAGACAGCGGCACGTATAAGTGTGTGGCGACCAATCACGTGGGCTCCAGTGAAGCGCTGACCAAAGTTACTGTGAGAGGTGCGTCAAACTCAGGGAAGACTTAGGATGTGACTTGTCCAAATACCCACAATTGCGGCCTTGGCCACTTGAGAGCGCGCGACACAAAGTGCGCAAGACTGTCCCAGGTCTTAAAGGTGCACTAAGCGCTTTTTGCCAAGCGATGTTGATATTTGAAAGCACCAAAACAAACACATACCCCAATAGGACCTCGCCCTTATTTTGAAATCTCCGCCCCACACGCACGTACACAACCTTGGCATAACGACGATCGCGGAAACAAGTGAAGATGACACACAAGCATATTCAAACAGAAGCCAACACAGATAAGTTGTGTGAAACAAAGCAAAATCAATGTTACTCACCTATCAAGAAGAAACAATGCAACCTCGGCGTCCGATTCAAGCCCTTCCCGCTTCTTGAGTTCTCTCCAGCGCTGGAAAGCTGCTCCGATATTTACGCGGGTCCTACCTCTTGCCTGATCGTAACCCTTCTTTTTAATGTTTTGCTTCTCTGATATTTCCATCTCTCTATCTATAGTCGTTCTGCTAATATCCGTCTTGTGCACTCAAATTGAGTGCTCTCTTCTCTCGGTCATTACAAGACACGCCCCCTTACTGCTGATTGGCTACAAGTGTGTTTTGGGACTCGATCCAACGCTATCATCAAAAGTGTTTTTCAAAAGTCACTTAGTGCACCTTTAAAACGACAAAGCACAGCGCCCTTAACGCACACTAAATCAACACTAACTTGAAAACTGCTCCGGAGCGCTATTCGAGGCTTAGTGTATCCCATCATGCATCATGTTTTGGAATAAATCGTGACACTTTTGCCGAGATCTCGCGAGAGGTCACGGAAACCTTTCCGATGTAAGTTAAATATTAATATAATAATTAGACAGGGCCAATTATTACATATAATTTGGTAGAAAAATTTGCACGTTTTATGGTGCAAAGATGAGTAGTGGTGATATTTATTTTGTACAACGTTTTTTATACTTAATTAGCACCACAAATTAAATTGTCATGTTATAAGGACTACTGAACAGACATTTAGAAGTTGATTTTACAATGCAAAGTATTTAAAATAAAAATAAAGCTATATAAACACTTGCATTTGTACAACACTATAAGTGTGTCCCATCAGGTAATGAAAAGTTGTACACACACTTGTGGTCTTCATCCTAACTTGAACACTTGGCCCAAATACAGGAAATACATCATAGAAGTAGTCAAGTGGTCAAATGCAAAGACCACAAGCGTGGGTATTTGGACAAGGGGATTGTCTTACTATAAGGAGATGAGAGAGTCTGTATTACGGGCCAAATACAGGAAATACGTCATAGAAGTAGTCAAGTGGTCAAATGCAAAAACCACAAGCGTGGGTATTTGGACAAGGGGATTGTCTTACTATAAGGAGATGAGAGAGTCTGTATTACTATTCCACTCTAAAAAATGCTGGGTTGTTTCAACCCAACTTTGGGTCAAATATGGACTAACCCAGCTGTTGGGTTAAATTTTTACATTAAATGTTTGACCCAAAAGTTGGGTTAGTCCATATTTGACCCAAAGTTGGGTTGAAACAACCCAGCATTTTTTAGAGTGTGGAGAAAGCGTAACGGCTAACTTGGATCACGTGTGCCTTAATAACCAATCACATTACAGCCTTGATTGCTCACTGAATTTCAATCAGAGTTGTGCGACACTCAATCACAGTTTACGGATCCCATAGAAATGAATGGGAAGAGCCGTAAACTCAATCCCATCTGTCACAAAAAGTCAGTGACTTCTCTTATAAAACAGAATTTTTTTTCGTGGTAAACTCTAAAAATAGTTAAATCCAAAAGTATTGTTTAGTGTTGAAGATTAGCAGATAGGCTGTCGATTCATTAAATGATAAGCCGTTTCTGTTTATTCAGTGTAGTGAAGCCTATACTCCATTGACATCCATTTAAAAAAAAGCGGCCTAAGCAGAAGGGTTAGCATTAGCTGTTACGCTTTTTTGGCTTAAGGTTGCAGGCTTGCCTTCTAGTGGCTTTGGGGAAGATTTTAAAAATATGTTCATCAAATGTAAAACACTTTGGAAATCACTAGCACTCCATTAAGTGGTTAAAATAATAGTGTTTATGTCATTAAATCCTCAGTTCTTCTCTCTCTGCTTTTACCTCCCAACAGCTTAATCACAGACCTGCTGATTGTAAAAATCTACCCATTAATTATGAGGACATCAGAGACTTCAGACCTACAAGACGATGAAGCTCGGAGACGAGACAAACGTGAAGTTTTGCTAAGGTGTTCAGAACAGCAGAAAAAATGTTTCGTCTGTTCATATTCTGCTATTTTGAATATTTCTGAAATGTCACGATGGAAAGATGCTTTCACTTTGGCATTCAAGTCAAATAAACACATAATAAAAAGTTCATAATAAAGACTGTGTGATTATCTTCCATTGGATTTCCACAAAATTCATTACAAAAAATAAATAACTAAAAAATCTAAGACTGATAGTGAATAATATATAACTTAAAAGAAAAAAAAAGAATTTTAAAAGAACTCATCAAATTCTAATCACATTGACTTTAGACTAAAATTAGATACATTCTGGTTAAAGGGGTCATGACATGCATTTTTTATTATTATTTTAATATGCTCCTTGAGGTTTACTTACAATGTTAATAAAGCTTTTTGCACAAAAAAACGAAGAAAAAACAAACAAAAACAAATAAATGTGGAGAAATATTCTGCCCCTCAAGCGACCTGTTTTAAGAGGCGTGTCCTTTAAGGCTTGTCAGGAATCAGCCACTGTTATGATTGGCTAACGGCATTGCATAGGAATCATTATCATCGCCCCCTCGCTATTGCATGTTTTGACAACATGATTAAATAAAACGGTCATTTCCAGACAGAGCACCATGAAATCATTTACTTACGGTTTGTGACGCAGCAGCAGTCAGATCTAGTGCCGCTTCATCTTTAAACAAATGTTTCTGTGTTGCTCTGGAGGCAGTCATATGCAAACGACTGCGCCCGCGTGACGTCATCTTGCCCCTCGGATCCAAAACAAGCCGTTTTCTGAGGGTTATTACATAAATGCTTTTTATTGATGATGAGGTCATTTTAAAGGGAGTTCACCCAAAAATTTAAATTCTGTCATTAACATGAACGATCCCTTTAAGTTATGAAACTTGCAGGATGTATTAAGCATACAAAGACCTCTTCTGTGTCAAAAGATCAAGGGAAATTTGGTTTCTCATGTTATGACCCTTTATATTTCTCAGTATTTTGGCCAAGAGCTGTCCAATTAGACATGAAGTGATAGTCTAACTGACATGCATAGCATGGTGTTGCCTCCTTCGGGTCAAGGAGGAGTGTTGCAAGCTGATTAGTTGGATCTGCTCATGAGAGGATATATAGTTCAGCAATAGTCAGGTAAATTTGCATGCTAAGGACATTATCATTGAATATGGTAAAGCAGAGATTGTAAACACCTAAATTCACCTTTTGACCTTAACAGCAACCTCTACGGAGAGCGAACAGACTATAAGAGAGTCAAAGATATAGAGCATCGGTCATGTCCTGGATGACGAGAGGCTTGACCTTTAAAGACACATGAGAGCATTCTGCTGGGAGACTTCGCACAAAGCTTTAGACCTGCCGCACACAGGTCTTCTGTCGCTTTCTGTCTGTTCAATACGGCCGTTCCAGGTGTGAGGCGTAAGCTCACTCAGACGAATCAGCTCATGTAGTTCACACCAGGAATTGAATCAAATATGCAGGTTACCTCTCATTGACTTTGGAGAGACTTCAGCTTAAATGCAAGCAGCGGCTTTCATTTCCTCATGTAAGAAAAGGTTGTTAGTGAAGATGAACCAGTTTGAATCAGTCTTCCGAAAGAGGTTGTTTCTCTAGTCTTTAATAGGGCTTTATACAATACAGATTGTGTTAAAGCAGCTTTACAGTGTTGCACAAAAAAAAATGTCAATAAACCAAACAAAATTCAATTCTGCTGTGAAGCAGTTCAAAAAAAGATGACAAAAGTAAACAGTAAATTTTTCAGCTAAAGTCAGTTCATTGTTTATTCAGTGACGTCTTTGTCCAGCTCAGTTCAAAAATCCAATATCAGACACTGATCTGCACATTACAGTGATTTTTTCATCCAAATGATTTATTTCTACCCAGTAAATAATGTTCTAGAGACATTTTAGTTTAAGGGGTTATTTTTTACAACCATAAAATAATGTTCCCGTAGCACTACATTTTTACACAACCTAAAATTATGAATCTATGATGATTCTGGGGCAGCGTGTTTCTTCTTGTGGGTCTGAAAACCCCATTTATAAGCGAATCTCTCGCCGCAGATGGAGCAGCGGTAAGGTTTCTCTCCTGTATGCATTCGTTCATGGATCTTCAGGGAACTTGATATAGCGAAAGTCTTGTCACAAAGTGAGCATTTAAAAGGTTTTTCTCCTGTATGAGTCCTCTGGTGTTTTTTTAAGTCACTTAGCTTATAAAAACTCTTCCCACAATCACTACAGGGATACGGTTTTTCTCCTGTGTGAATTCTAAGATGAACTTTTAAAGAAAATGAACTAGAAAAGCTCTTCCCGCAGTCGGAGCACAGGTACGGTTTCTCTCCGGTGTGAATCCTCTCATGGGTTTTCATGTGACTCGAATGATGGAAACGTTTCTCACAGTGTGAACACTGATATGGTTTGTCATCAGAGTGGATTTTTTGGTGAAAATTTAGAGAACCTGAGCTTATAAAACTTTTCCCACATTCACTGCACTGATACGGCCTCTCATTGGTGTGCAAACGCACATGTTTCTTCAGACTAGATCCCTCGGTGAAGCTCTTCTCGCAGTGAGGACACTTGTACGGCTTTTCACCCGTGTGGATCCTCTTATGACGTGAAAGATTTTGTTTGATGTTGAACAACTTGCCACATTCACTGCACTGATGCGGCCTTTCGTTGGTGTGTGTAAATAGATGGTCCTTCAGATTAGATCCCTGGCTGAAGCTCTTCTCGCAGTGAGGACACTTGTATGGCTTTTCACCCGTGTGGATCCTCTTGTGAACAGAAAGTTTACTATTGTTGCGGAAAAACTTGTTACATTCGTTGCACTGGAAAGACTTTTCCTCGTGTGTCTTTATATGAGCTCTCATACAATGAAGAGTGGTGAAAAAATCCTTCCCGCACTGTTCGCAGCGAAACTCCTTCTTCACGCTGTGCTCTTTTGAATGAAGTGTTTTATCTGCTAAGGTAGGAAAACTCTTGCTAATGAAGTCTTTCTGTTCTCTGTGTTTTTTCTCATGTCTCATTAAATGACCCTGTTTGCTGAATTTCTTTCCATAGTCCATCACTGTCCATTGCTCTTTGGATGTAGATGCAGTTTCTCCAGCATTGTCTGAAAGTAACAAAATGGTCATAAAATATTTAACTTTCTCTTTAAATTCTAGAGCTGGACGATCCGTCAAAATAAAAATGAAATTATCTTAGTGCGGTTATCAAACCGCAAAGGCTGTGATTTAAATAAATAGAAAAAATGATGTGTGGCAGTGTTGCTAGATTGGGTCGACAATTTCCAGCCCAAAAGCTCACCAAAACATTAATCGCCAAAATACTGTAAAAAAGTTATGTTGTCATGACAACCAAGGACCATTTACCACCTTAAAACTAAATAATGATAACAAAATAAAATTATAAAAATGAATCAATTACCCTGCCAGGTAAACAATACAACAGCAAAACATATCAAAACAAGGCAAATACAGCAAAAAAACAAACTATTGTTTCTACCCATATTATAAGTTATTAAAATACGTCAAATATTTGCAAAAAACGGTAAAAGAAATTACCATACTTCCCTCCGAAACACACACCATTTAAAACATCATCTGCAAAACCAGGCCAATTCAAGTCCAGAAAAAAAGGTGTAACGGTTCAAATTATTTATGGTTCGGTTTGTATCAGTCACTTAGGGATGTAACGGCATGAAAATTTCTTATCACGATTATAGTGACCAAAATGATCACGGTTATCAGTATTATCACGGTATTGTTAAAATGGGCTGGAAACGTTCAAAAAGTACTGACACACAAATCACTTCAAGTTTTATATTTAAAATCAACGAACAACAAATAAAATGATTTTTGTTTGCATAATCACTAAAACAATAACATTACCAATGTTTAACTAATAGCACGTTCAAATATCTAATTCAAATGTTCAAATAAAGCTTTGAAAAAGTTTCATAAAATGGTAAACCTCACATTTCAGTCTTTAAATAAAGAAAAGGGTTAAGTCAAAATGATAATTGATTAATCAATGATTATATGTATTTTATCCGCTCCATAAAGAATTCTAGATAACTTATCTGAATTGTTTAAATAGAATCCATAAGCTTGTTTTTCATCAACTGGTCAAAATTTAGGCTACAGTAGGGCATGCAAATTCGGTCCGTTTTTTGGCCAGACAGAAACTGAATGTGAATGTAAGTCTCTGTAAATCCACTCTCTGACAGCAGGTGGCGCTTATGGAAAAGCTGAATTAGAGCCGTTTCCCGTGAACTCCGTAGACAAAGCAGCATTGCAATTAAGAACACTTCTTTAGATATTACATGGAGCGAAGATGAAAACAAAATGCCATCGAATCTTTTCTGAAGACAGTCAGAACCTTCAGAGGTACATTCATATAATGAATTAATTCATATATTCATTTGTATAATTCCCGATTTATGTTTCTGCCGGTGGGTGCCCAACCCCCATTTGCGAAGTGAAACACAAGGACTGCATATATATTAGTTACCAAATAATACACACATTCTTTCTATGAGGGTTGTGCTTCACTAAATAAAATGATTTAATAAATACCTGTTTACAATAAGATTAGATTATTACAAATACATGCGTTGTCAGATTTAAGTTGAACTGCGGTGCAAGTGCGTGCCGAACCGTGGGTGCAGAACAGTATGGTTTGATTTTTTACCATGAACCGTTACACCCCTAGTATAGGGCTCCAGACAAAAAAAATGAACTAAGGAGCCATTGGCTCCTATAAGAAACAAAACTAGGCGCCAAATAATTTTTTTAGGTGCCACAGAATAAACGTGTTTTATTTGTATTTTTTTGACACTATCATTTCAGTCTGTTCAAGTTGTGCACGACTTCGCACGTCTGTCATTTTCAATCTCTCTCACGCTGCACAACTGGAGCTGCGTTTAGCAGGTGTGCCATCAGAGATGAGGACTGATTGAAAGTCTTTTTTCCACTAAAACTTTGATACGTATCGTCTCGGTTTATTACGTCAACGTAACAAAAGATGCGATTATAAAACAATCAGGAAAAAAGGCAAATTTTTAAGTCATAACATGAACATTTATATAGTCGCCAGTGGCGACCTCAGCAAAAAGTTCACTCGCAAATTAAAGGAACACTCCACTATTTTTGAAAATAGGCTAATTTTCCAACTCCCCTAGAGTTAAACAGTTGAGTTTTACCATTTTTGAATCCATTCAGTCGATCTCCGGGTCTGGCGGTAGCACTTTTAGCTGTAGCTTAGCATAGATCATTGAATCTGATTAGACCGTACTATGGGTGCAGCAGGCGCAATGATATTACACAGCACCTGAAAATAGTCCCCAGCACGCTCCCTGTGCTAGAAAATCGCAACTTTTCATTTTCCGTCGGTCTTAGTACACGATGTAACTACAGAAGTGTCAAGTTTTAAATAGAAAAAATATAGAAACTCTTTGGTCATTTTTGAGCGAGATGCTAACACTCTAATCAGATTCAATGATCTATGCTAAGCTACAGCTAAAAGTGCTACCGCCAGACCCGGAGATCGACTGAATGGATTCAAAAATGGTAAAACTCAATCTGTTTAACTGTTCCTTTAATATTTTTGGACGCAAATACCGCAAAAACCGTTTTAGTAACAGTAGTACATACACAATATTTTACAATTTATTAATAATTCTGTTAACTTGGCATATCATGGTCATAAAAAGAAAAAAACATACCTGGAAGAACGAAGTCACCATCATCATCATCTTCATCATGACACTGATTTAACCTCAAAAGGATTGTTTACATACGACTGAACAAGAGCTGAACTACACAGAACTGACTTATTGAAGAATACATGAGAATATTATCACATATGTCTATTTCAGATGTGTTTCAATATTGAGCCAGCTCAAAGCTGGACATAACTCAGATATCGTCAGATTTCAACACTAGCGATAGAAAAATAACGACATCCACGTATAAACAGCTAAAACACATTAATAACGTAACACTTACCGTCTGAGTGCTCGGTCTCCTTTCTTTCTTCAGTGGTTTTACCGGAGAACTAAAGATCGTCAGAGCGCCTCCTACAGTACGAGCGATAGATGAAGAGAAGAAACGACGCTCCCGCTGGTGTGTGGAGGGCTGCACCAAACCTAATTTATTTTATTTCAAAAACACTATTTCAGTGGCGTTGCCAAGACATGAATACAATATATCCATATATTCATATCATATATAATTATTAAATAAAGTAATCGATCATGTTAGTCAGCCGGTCAATCAAAATGACCGTTAATTTTTGAATTACACGAGTTGGCGGCTTTCTGGAGGACAGGACAAGAGAAAGCGCGCGCAGAACCAGAGAAGCGCGGTAAAGAACACAACAGAGAGAACACTGTAAACTAGCATTTTTAATTGTATTACACTGCTTTACTGGCTGTGCTGAGATGTTATGAATGGTTACTAGTAAATAATACAGACTTAAATCCCATTGCATACAGACCAAGGTGCTGTAGCTGATTAAAGTCCCAATGAAATCAAAATTGAAGTAAAAAATTTGTATATAGCCTTAAGGTTATCTATAAGCTTGTGTGTTCCAAAACAAGGACAAAAGTCACATTTAGAAGATATAAGCATTAATTTTAGTCATTAGTCTCATTTCCACCAATATGAATCAACCATTTTGATGACATCACCCTGCACTTCAGCTTCTGGTCCAAATGCTCTCAAGAATATGTGCTAAACAAAACCATTGTTAATTTGTGGTTACCATCCAACCATGATTGTCAATGACAAATTTTTGTAAGGGAACATGGAAAGTCAGAGAGAATATTAGATGCGTTGTTGGTGGTTAAATTATTACCGACATTAAAACATGTCCAAGATTCACACCTGTAATAAATGTCATTGTTAATCCCAAAAAACTGATACTGTGACATATTGCATATTCATGTCTGGATCATTTCAGTTTGTGTAACAAAGTGACTGAGGCCAATAAGGGTCATTTGATGCCATCATGTTTTTCAGGAAGTATTTAATAACTGCCAAAATAATTAGGACTCGTCATTCTGTTACTGTGATTAAAAACCCATAAACACACATTGTACTCCAATATCTGCACATTACAATGAATTTAAAGTAAAAACATAGGATTCATTTTTACACAGTATGTAATGTTCTAGAGCAGGGGTGTCCAATCCTGCTCCTGGAGGTCCACCATCCTGCAGAGTTTAGTGCCAACACACTTACCTGAAGTTTCTAGCGAGTCTGAGTCAGTTTCATCCCCTATTCCCTCAATCACTATTAGTCCACTTGAAGGAGTCAATGAAAACAAGTGAGTGAATTCAAACACTGAGTGTGCCGGAAGGGTTTATTAATAATTTGAAACTTAACTGCAAGTTCCAGTAGTAAGATTAAAAGATTTATCTTGATCTCTATCAAAGAAACTAGCATGTATAAACCTTAATAAAACAATTTAATAATCAATTAAAAGGAATTTATGCCTGTATGATACTACACTGTGGCCACATTGGACCAGTGGTTTAGAAAATGGAGGGATGATTCAGCTGCAGATGCCATCTTCTGGTGAGACACGGAAATTAATTTAGCTCGAACATCATGGTGCATTATGGGTATTCACTAGCTGTTGGTGTACATCATTTGTCCACTCATTATTGCGGTGCATTGTGGGATTGATTGAGCACACTGTGTAAAGTCCACTGTGGTCTTGGATGCCATTACAAATGGCTGTCTTCTCAAATAGTGCCCTATTCAAGGGTACAGTGGTGATTCCAGACACAGATCTTGATGAGCTGCTTCAGGTGTGTTTAATTATAGTTGGAGCTAAACTCTGCAGGACAGCGGCCCTCCAGGAGCAGGTTTGAGCACCCCTGTCCTAGAGACATTCTTGTTATAGGTTTTACTTTTTACAACCATAAAACAACATTCCTGTAACACTGTGTTTTTGACAACCTAGAATTAATTACATGATGAATCTATGATGATTCTGGAGCAGCGTGTTTCTTCTTGTGTGTCTGAAAACCCCATATAAATGCGAATCTCTCGCCGCAGATGGAGCAGCAGTAAGGTTTCTCTCCTGTATGATGTCGCTCATGGA